AMYTYMAARKTYMAARKTYYKTTTTTTTCTGACTTTCGTACTCTTTTCTGAAGTGACTTGGGATTGGTCTGTTGAGAACTGGTTTCWACTTTCTAGTGTTGTGTGAGCCTTTGTGAATGTCTGTGACAGTATTGACTCTATTGAGCTGTCAAGTTGTGAATAGTCAAAGACAGTAAGATGTGGTTAGTACTGCTTATTACTAATGTTTTTTTTGTTTTTTGTTTTTCTTCGGTCCGGACATTTTTGTGTCTGCTGTACCGGTCCGGACGGTCCGGGTCTGGTCATGTCCGGTTGTCCGGTGCCTGTCCGGATTACCGGATGTCTGGACCAGTCCAGACAAATGTCTGGGCCTCGGTCCAGACATGTCCGGGTCCGGGTCCGCGGTTGCCATGGTGCGAATGCTCCTGAGCCTCTTTTTCTTTATTCCTATGGATTGGTGTGTGTGTTTGCATGCACGCATTTGTGTGTGTCTATGCATGTTTGTGGTATGGCATGGTGACTGTGAGGTGGTCATCTGTGCTTGTGCAGGCTGATTCAGAGGGATACATCGGTATAATCATGCCCACTAGGCATGATGGGAACCAAATAGCGAAGAAGCTGCTGACAAAGGAACAATATATGGAGAAGAGGGGAGACTTGGCCCGTCTCTGTCAAGGCTAAGAGTAGAAACAGGAGGAGCAAGAGAATACTGCAAATATAGCTTCTTTTCTGCTCATTCTTAAAGGTTCTGTTACCCAACAACCAAGAAAGGACATCCTCTCTCTCTCTCTCTCTCTCTCTCTCTCTCTCTCTCTCTCTCTCTCTCTCTCTCTCTCTCTCTCGCTCACTCTCTCGCTCTGTGTGTGTGTGTGTGTGTGTGTGTGTGTGTGTGTGTGTGTGTGTGTGTGTGTGTGTGTTGTAAGTACGTGCTCCTTTTGTGTGTATTGTGGGCAAGGGCGGGAGGAGTTATAATGGTTTCAGCAAGTGGATGGCTTTTGTCTCGCCACAGACATCACTCACCCAGTCCCTTTCCTCGCCATGTTGCGTTCAGATGAATGTATTTATTTTGCACATTACATGCATGAATGTCTCCAGGTGCAGCACACTATGTACAGCCCTGGTGTGCAGGAGAATCCTTGAGAAAAAAAAGAAAACAATCAGAAACTACTGGACCGAAAGTATGTGATGCAAAACGTTAAAGCATGACGTCGAACAACTTTCGGCTGTGATGCTATCTTGACTTCGAATCATACTTGCAACCGCACGAGCCACACATTCGTGCGGAGTTCCGTGCGGGGGGTGCCTGTGCGGAATCGTGCAGGTTTTTTATTTTTATTATTATTATTATTATTTTTAATAAGAGTAGTAACCAGCGTTATTTGTTGCTTTTATTATATGCGCTTTGCGAAAGTCATGTATTTTGAAACACCTAAAACATGGATTTTCTATAAACCAATGGATCGTGAAAAATCTTTATTGCTTGCTATTACTCTCTTTTTTATCACTTTTTTTTCTTATATCCTTCTCCTTTATTTTTGGTTACTCATGAAATGGCACTAAGTCTGTGCCTGTAAGTTTCGAGCGGAGACCAAACTTTGGGAGGGGGGACAGGGGCGCGTATGACAGGAAGATGGGGAGATGGCGAGGAGAGGGGGATATGGAGAGGAGGAGGAGGATGTGGACAAGGAGGACGGCGAGGATAGCGAGGACGAGGACGAGGAGGAGGAGCAGAGATGGGGGAGGAGAAGAGATAGACGGAGGGAAAAGAGGAAGGGCAGGAGGAGGAGGATGAGTGGGAGGAGGAGGAGACGAGGAGGATGAGGAAGGGCAGGAGGAGGACGAACAGGAGGAACAGGGGCGCGTATGACAGGAAGATGGGGAGATGGCGAGGAGAGGGGGATATGGAGAGGAGGAGGAGGATGTGGACAAGGAGGACGGCTAGGATAGCGAGGACGAGGACGAGGAGGAGGAGCAGAGATGGGGGAGGAGAAGAGATGGACGGAGGGAAAAGAGGAAGGGCAGGAGGAGGAGGATGAGTGGGAGGAGGAGGAGACGAGGAGGATGAGGAAGGGCAGGAGGAGGACAAACAGGAGGAAGAGGACGAGTCGGAGGAGACGAAAAGGAGGAGGAGGGAGGAGACATGGAGGACGAGGAAAGGGAGGAGGAGTGAGGTGAGGCAGCACTCCTGCAATTTTTTTTTTCATTCCACTTATAATTCTGGCGGGGGGCCTCGAACGCACCGTTTCGACGCCCGACCTTCTTTTGTTTTTCTGGAGGGGGTTGACGGGTCGTTCCCCAAACACGCCGTGCGTCGCACATCGGGAACCGCCCGCATGAGGTGCGCTACTCAAGTCAGACCTTTCCATTCACATGCATGACTCGCACAACTTTCGTCTACCTTTTCTTTTGAACATTCAAAACAACAGGGTCAAACAAAGTGTAGGTTCATACAGAGGTGAAAAGAATCTGAGTCAATCAACTGACCGACCTTAAGTGAAGTTTGATCTGGCTCACTCAAGAAAGCCGAGTAATACTTCAATCAACAGAAAATGACCGTTGTACCATATGATAATATGCGGCTCACAACTCCACAAGTTGTGGCCTCCCTCCTGAATCACGGTCCTCGTCCTCCACCAAGTACCCAAATGAGCAAGAGTCGGGTCCATTGAGAGAACTAAAGTGGAAAAACCCTCTAGGAGGGTGCTCCAAAGAACAAGTCCCCCGTCTTCTCAACGTCCTGGACAACCTCAACGCAGTCCCCACCGAACTTTCACCACCAAGGATACTCCCCAACCAACCGCAAGTCCACGCCGCCTCTTATCACCATGTCCACTCACAATAGTCACACCAACATGCCGGTTCCTATCTCAACCCACTCCTGCCTGGTCCAACGTCCCAGACAGCCTCAACGCAGTCCCCACTGAACTTTCACCACCAAGGATACTCCCCAACCAACTGCAAGTCCACGCCGCCTCTTATCACGATGTCCACTCACAATAGTCACACCAACATGCCGGTTCTGATCTCAACCCACTCCTGCCTGGTCCCAAAATTGTCCCAAGTGGTCTTCGGCGGCCCCACACCATCGCCCGCAACACCAGATGGTCCAGACCTTCAAACCGCTCAGCAAGTATGCTTTGAATGCATCAAGTTTACGAAAATCTAAAGCAATTCGTTTTGAATTTTGTTGGGACTTCTTCATTATTTTCAAGATGATCTATTGTCGGTAGACTGTACCGATCTTCGCACACCTTACAAAACCGATTAGCACAAAGCACACCACACACTTGCTTGGCAAGTACGCTCATGCAGGACAGATTGCTTGGTGAGGGCATTTGCGAAGGATGACCAGCTGTCCTCCTCCCCTGTCTGTGTGTCCTGGAGGCTGTTTTGGCAGTCCACCCTTGCCTGAGCTGAAGCTCTGTGTGTGCATGCCTTTTTTCCTGCCGCTTTCCTGTCCGGAAAAAAAAGCTCTGGCCGACAAGCCATGTCTACCCCTCCCATGCATGTGAGTTGTTCTTTTTCCGTGCAGGTAATAGATTGGTTGGTCCCACTTCACAAGGACCAATGACCTTGAAAAATTTAGTCCCCTTCATGCACACCATGTGAGTGACAACTTTTCATTTTCCAACCATATTCCTTCGTGATGCTTCTTCACTAAAGCTTATTCTGCTTCTATCATTTCTCACATGTCCTCCATATGACTGTGGCCTCCACTTTGTGTTTGATTCTTGACCTTGATTTTTGACCTCCCCTTGTCCTTCTAATGCAGGTGCATGTGGAGCTACGTTCCATGGACAAATTAGCTGGAATGCATCCTCTTCCACAGCTCAGCTGCATGTTCAGGTTGTATCTAGAGCGGCATGAGATGACAGTGTTGGTGACAATTGTCATTTTTGGGGGCGGTTATCCTTTTTTGGGTCAAATTTTCTTCTTCTTTTTTTCCTCCCTTTCCTCACTGTACATAAAGACGTGCATGAGCGTGTGTGTTAAAGGGTCAAAATGCATTTGTTTTCTATTCCAGCTCTTTTACTCACTGATTCCACATGCCAAGAATCATCGGCAAAATCCTACCTCTTTCCTGGAGGGTTCTACTATGATGGTTTGGAGAAAGTGGGGTATGGTTTCTAGGGTCGTTTTTTACTCATTTTATTTTCTTAAACCGTCAACAACAACTCCATGAGCTCCTGAAAATCGTAGCTATTCAGTACTTGCAAAGGAACCCACAGATAATACCCCCAGATTCAGTCCGGCTCCATATAGAGCACCTGCAGTCAATTGAAGGCTCCGCACGATAGACTCAGAGATAGTGGCTCTTAAGGATGATCAGGGGTATGTTGTCTGACAGACTATGCTAGGAAGTGGTATGCTAGGAAGTGGTTTTAACAACGCGTCCCAAGTTTAATCAAGTGTGGCACACAGTGAAAGGAGTCAAAGGACCTGATTTGTTTGTTCTTTTTTTCCTTTTTTTTTTTTTTTGGTCTGTTATGTTGTGTACTGGTCTGGTCTCTGCTCTGTTTGCACTGTGCATGAATTTTGTTGGGTCTTTGGTGTGTGCATCGCGTATGTTTTTTGTTGATATGTTAATATGTTGAGGTCTATGGAACGTGCCAAACGTGGCATTACAGCCTTAACTTCCGTGAGGATCACCAAGTATTTGTAAAAGGGCCTTTACCCGATTCAGCCCCTGATCGACGAAAGCAGCATATTGGGGTCCCTTGCCCAGAGTCCAATTCGTGAAAGCAGATCAAAAGACCTGTTCTCTGGGTCAAAGGTCACATCCTGGCTAAAGTAAAGACAATGTCAAAGGTCATGGCTGGGCCCTGGACGAGCAGTCACCATGTTTAGATTTGGAGGTCACATCTGTTCGCCAGGGGCAATGCAAGTCATGTCTATTCAAACCAGGGATGTGTCGTGCAGTCAATGTGTCTGTTCGTGCATTGGGTGTGTCTGTCCAGTAGAAGTCAAGGAGTCAAGTTCCAGTCCGGATTCAAGTCAGAAAGAAAGTCTAGATTCAGATTGGGAGTCTGAAATCAAGGCCTGAAGGCCGCAGCAGCAGCAACCCCTGAAGGAAAGGGATCTGGGACACATACACAGAGGTTGGGACTGGGAAAGGACCAGGACAGGCAGTATTCAGACCTCGCCAGGGGAGGCCAGCACTATAAGAAACGAGGCAGCCTCCCCCACAGGCAGATTCCCATTGGCATTGATGCGTGGAAGTGCTGAGGCACTTGTGCGCTATAGTGCAGGGAGCTGGGCGCTGAAGAAGGAGCTGCGCCAGAGAGGACATGAGGCTGGGCGCTGACTGCAGGGAAGCCATAGCTGCGCCAGCCTATGTTAGTAGTAGTAGGGATAGTCAGTAGTGGGATATCAGTGAGTGGCATTCAGAGTAGATCTTCGTAGGTGAGAGTGTGCATGCATAGTGAGGTCAGAGAACCAAGACAGAGTTCTGGAGAGAGAGAGAAGAGATCAAGAGAGAGAAGACAGGGGGTGAGCTTGGATATGGTGGACACTTACCTGTTGGCACCACACTTGTGATCTGAAGGAGGACGCTGGCTGAGCCAGGTCCCACGCTGTTGTATGACGAGGGAGACTTACCTCTTGCTGGTGCCGAACTCTGGAACTCATGCTACTCTTTGTATTAAGTGACATTGATAATATAAGCTGCGCTACTTGGTTCTTATCTCATCTCAATCTGGCTTTGTGTGAGACCACTTTATACAGTCAGGTTCCTTGCAATACTGGTATCGGAGCAGATACTTGTTGTACTCACTGCGCTGGCATGAGTAAGGCCGGTGAGAAGAAGAAGAGCACGCTGGATTGTTGATGAGGCTGGCGATGGTGGAAGAAGAGGTGGATAGGGATATGGGAGAGGAGTAGGCCGAAGAGGAAGGGGCAAAAGTGATACTTACCTGGAGCGTGGAGTGCGGAGCGATGAGGAGTCTTCATCGACGATCGCTGCGAAAGAGAGAAGCACCCTTTACCCCTTACCTGGCTGCATGTGTGTGTGCATCTCTACTCCTCATCTTCTCTGGGGCGCTGCTGCTGCTGTCAAATCAAGTCACAGGGTCTGTAGTCTGGTTGATCGAGGTCAAAGGGTCTTGTCGCGTCAGGGTCAAGAGCGATCAGAGTCCTTCTGTCTTCTACCCTCTTGTCCAGAGTCTGCGCTATAGTCAAGAGAAGAGTACGGTGGGAGATGGTGGCAGTCTGGCACGTCAGTATGCAAGTACGATATAAGGCATAACTAAATTGGGCAGAGACAAGTTGGGATCGAAGTATTGTCCAGGCATCTGATCGAGTACCACTCCAGCTCGACCTGCGCAGAAGGACAAACAGACAGGGTTAGAAAAGAAGATAAAAGAAAGGAGAAAGAACAACATTCATCACCAGACAAGATCAAGTGTGATATCTGTTTTAGTTAGCTCAACATCTGAAGTTGACGACAGACAGCAAAGGAAAGAAAAAAAAAAAAGTCTTATTGTATATCCCCATTCTGAAATTCGTTATTGAAGCAGCGACATCCAGAGCCTGAAAAAAAAAAAAAAAACAGACAAAGCAAAGTTGTTTTATCCCATCCACTTAGAGTAGCTTGAGGAACAGTTGGGAGGCTTACCTGGTGGGACCAGCGGAGGGTTGCCTGTGCTAAGTGCCACCATGGTGGACGACTTTCCTATGCAGGGCTTGATTGCCCTTTCTGTCCTGATGGGTCCTTTGTTCAGAGTTCTTTTTCCCCTGGGCTTCGGGAGGGTATGCACCTCCCGTATGATGATGAGATCGGGAGGTATAAAGCCAGGGCTTACACCTGCAGAGCAGGCTGAAGTGGATCGCCGCCAGGCACAAAAGAAAAAAGAAAAAGAAGAAAGGAAAAGACAGAAAGAGGAAGAAATAAAGAAGAAAATGCAAATGGAAGAAGAAAGAATGAGAAAAGAAATGCAAAAGAAATTAGAGAAAGAGTTGAAAGAAGAATTGCAGACCATAGAAGAAGATGAACCTGACGAGGACAGACTCATCAGGCGGCGGGCGGAAAGAGGTGAGACCAGCCAGACAGCTGGTGAACTTGATGTCAGACCGCTGGACTGGTACGGCCAGTATGCCTATTCCAGTGACAAACTTGAGGAAACAGAGGAAGAGAGGGACGTGTTCGTTGCAAGGCTAGCAACCATTACAGACCAGAAAGAAAAGGACCTCATGCTTGAAGAAAAACGTGCGGAGCTGCACAGTAAAATGTTAGCAGCGAAGCGACAAGAACTTGACGAAAGGAAAAGATTACACGCAGAGGGGGCAAGGCTGCAAAGCGAGCTGCAAGCACAAAAAGACAAACAGGCGGCAACCGAAGAAAAACTTACTCTCTTGACTGAAACAGTCCATACCAAGCAAGAGGTAGCCGCAATGAACCGGACCCTGCAGAAAGTTGAAAGCCACCAGTACGAGTTTGAAGGGGTCTGGAATACCTTTCTGCAAAAGTCCGCCAAAGACGTGGATCTGCACATTCAATCTTATATTCAAAAGTTAGATAACCACATCACACAAACCTTTACTCCTGCCATAATTGATAAGATCATCCGAGGTAGCGGCGCAGGAGGCGGAGGAGGTGGTGATGGAGACGGAGATGGAGGCGATGGAGAGAGAAAAGGAAAGGGAGTGTTGCGAGACGATAAAGATACCGATGTCAGGAAAATAAAGGTTAAAGTGCCATGGACCTACACTGGTAAGAAGGAGGAGAGTGTTCTACATTGGATCGCGGTCGTAGAATCATATGTATACGGTCAACGCATACCTTATTGGGATAGAGTTATGATGGCCACCTCGTGTATGGCCGGCGATGCGATGAGCTTCGCCATCTCGCTGCAAAAAGAAGCTAACTGTGATACTATGATTGCATATTCCCAGCAAACTAGAATTGAAGATTTTTTTAAAGCTGTCAGAGAACGGTTTGAAGATAAAAATCTAGCTCGCAAAACAGAAATGTTAATTCTAAGCATCGCAGATCGAAATGGAAGAGTGCGTCTGCACTCAAAGCAACAATGGACGAACTCTTACAATGCGCAGAACATGGATTAACTCCTACCCAAATACTCAACAACTTCGCAAGAGCACTTCCTGATCCTCTCCGTACTCAGCTTTATCCCCGCACAAAAGAAGGGGGGATGCCATACGAGAAGTTCAGCAAGATCACTATAGATCATGCTGGCTTCTTAGCCGAAGCTAATTACTGCCATTATTGGAAAGATCTGCCAGCGGGAAAGAAGTGGCAGAACCGCACAATCTCAGGGAACATACGTGGGAAACACAACCTCCTTCTGACCTTTGAAGAAGGAGGTGTCGAAACTCTTTCCTATGACCAGATAGACTATGGTCTTGAGGAAGGACCCAGCAGTCCGGTAGCTCAGGAGGGGAGCTATGCGGCCGTTGCAGCCCGCGGGGGAGGGCGACAAGGAAGAGGACGCGATCGAAGAAGAGGAGGTCGTGGACGCGGTGGAAGAGGACCCAGTACCCAGAGGGGTGGTGGCAAAGGAAGCTACTACGTGGGTGGAAGGGGCAATGGTCCCTCGCAAGGTGGCCGAGATTCATATTCTACCTGAGGAAGAGGAAGAGGCGCGTGGTATGGTACATGGGACAAACCATATCCACCCCATCCAGGTTTGCCCGAAGGGGAGCCTTGGAAGAAACTGGGGATCACAGAAAAAGTTTGGCAGGAAAGAAAAGTCGTTGATCAGTGCCTCAAATGTGGTGACCCCAACCACATTGTTCCCTATTGTCCAGACTATAAGATACTAAAAGGGAACAACCAGTAGAGGTCCCAGTTGCCTCTACGGGAACTTCGGATGTAGAAAGAAAGACATCCTCCCATCTGAAGGTTCCACTGGCAGAGACTGAAGAGGAAGACAGTCCCCACCTAGTTAACTGTCCAGAGGTAGTAAGTGTTGTATCTCTCTAGGTGGATCCCTCGCTGGCATGGGTGATGAGTTGGCCGCTCGTCGCCAAGCCTGGACTGAAATGAAAAAACGAAGAGGACAGTTAATAATTGCAGATCTTGAAGTAAATAAAGTAAGAGTTGGTGGAATGGTTGACACAGGGTCAACACGCAGCTACATAAGTAAGAAAGGTTTGCAAAAGCTACGTCTCGGACTTAAGGTAAAGCAATTGGATGAGCTCGTAGTAAGTAAGTTAGCTAATAGTACAGTAATTGTAATAGATAAGTATGTTGAAGGGGTCAAGATATACTTACGGCTCGAAGCAGAGGGGAAGGTGGAACGTGTTCTCCACTCTCTGACTCTCTTGGTGGAAGATAATCTTCCTTTTGACATCCTTCTAGGTATGGATTGGGGTGAAGCTGCAGATGCGGATGTGAAGTTAAGGGACCATGAGTGTTGGCTCCCTAGTCCGCAAGGTGGGAAGAAGAAAATCCGCCTTTTTCATGAG